AAAAAAAAAAAAAAAAAAAAAAATTGGAAAACATGTACAACCTGATTTCAATGCTTACTGCAAAGCTACATTAATCAAGATTGTATGGTATTAGTGCAGCGAAAGAGCACTGGGGTTAACTACTTCTGGATGTTCTTGACTTCACTATGTATTCCAGGCTGGCTTTGAACTCATGGTAATCCTCCTGCCTCAGCTTTGCAGGTTCTGGGATTATAACCATGCACCACTACAGTGGACCTGCTTATAACTATTTTAAATGTCCACTGTGTGTCAGGCCTCAGCTGTGTACTTGAAGGAGCTGGATTAAGAGCAAAGGAAGGTACTGCCCCTTTCTATTTCCTGTGTAACTATACTGAACAAGACCTCTCTAACATAGTGTCTATTCTAATATTGAAAACCAAGTAAGTAATTTTTATTTTTCAAAGCTCAATTTAAACCCTTTCCCAAGCTTTTTCTGAACACTAAATATGCTGACAATTTGGTTTATGGGACAATTGTCTTCTAATGTGAGTTTTCTACGTCTATGTCTGACTCATACACCATACTGTAAACTCTTAGATATTTGGGACTGATTCAGAACTTTTCCTGTTGCTTTCCAGAGGCTCTGCTCTATCTTTTCCATCCAGTAAATGGTCAGTAGGCTTCCTGACTGCTTTAAGCCTACACTGGGTCATTTATTGTTTTATTTGTTGTTTTGTGACAGGATCTTGCTATGTAGTTCAGACTGGTATTGAACTTGTGGTGCTCCTCCTGCCTCAGCCTTCCTAGTGCTGGGATTACAGGTGTGCAGCACCATGCCTGGTTTTTATCTATTAACTTGAATATTCCAGGGAAGATTTAGGCATATAGCTGTTGGATTGTGGAACTCTGATGTTGAACTTCTTGTTTCAGAGATAGTGGGCAGTGGAAGCTTCTGACGTCTCTTCCTTTTTTTCTTTTTATTTATTTATTTTTAATTATTTGGCGGGGGTTGGGCACCAAGGATTGAACTCAGGTCCTTGTGCTTGTGAGGCAGGTGCCGGTACCACTGAGCTAAATCCCTGGCCTTTTTTCTTTTTAAAAGATAGGGTCTTGCTATGTATTTCAGGATGTCCTTGAACTCACTGTGTAGGCCACACTGGCCTCAAACTTGAGAGGATCTTTCTGCCTCAGCCTCCATGCCTGGCTCTATTGTCATTTAAAGGGGATAGTTAATGCTTGTGGTGTTTGACTGTTTAATACAGGGAAGGATAAATCTTAAATTAGAGATTTTATAGTAATACACATATGAAGTGATTAGTGATAAAAAAGGAGCAGATGCAAAAACTGAATGAAGACCCAAATGAATTAGCAATCTGTTGACTGGAGGCAGATAATCTGTGTATTTCCAAACTTCTGTCTGTCTTTGGAGCTCTTTATTTCTTTGAGCAAAACAGGGTTCATTGAGTGCCAGCTCTTACATCACTTCCTCTGGAGAACCTTCACCAAATCTCTCACTCATAGAAATAATTCTGGAATCTTGTACTTCTAAATGTTAGTCATATAATTAGCATAGCCTTTATTACATTATTAATTTATATGCCCTAATTCTCTGATTATGTCTTTAAGTGTAAAGATTTTAATCCTGGATAAGTACAACAGTGGTAATGACAACAGTAAATAAAGTAGAAAGAAATGGTTGGGTTTTTTTTTTTTTGCATACTGAGGATATAAGATCTCTGCACTGAGCTACTTCTCCAGCACCATCTCCCTTCTTTTCTTTTCTAAAAGATTTTGTGACAAGTTCTTGTTAAATGCTTGGGCTGGGCTCAAATTTGCAATCCTCCTGCCTCAGCTGGGATTATAGGCATGTACTACCATGCCCAACTAGAATTTTTTTTGAGAAAAATTTATTTGGTTATAGATTATCTAACAGTTACAGTATGCTGTGCCTGTCTACACCAAGGCTAAGGTCTGGTGTCTTTACTTCCATCAACTTCAACCTGATCTCAGGGGTCTTAAGATAATGCATAGTAAGACATACCATATTTCACTGGGATCAGCCTAGGTGCCATGAGGTATAAGACAGCCTTCAGTAAAGAGAAATGATAGTAGTTCAGTTAGTTTAAAAATGTGGGGGCTAGGAATATAACTCACTGGTGCAGCATGGGCTTGGCATGTGTAAGGCCCTCCATTCAGCCCCCAGTACCAGCACTACCACCACCAACCACAACAAAAAATGTGCCATGATACAGACAGGAGTAAGTTCCTATATTGTTTTTGGTGGCTGTCATTTTATGTAGTAATGGTGTGAGTCCTTTATTTTTTTCATCAGTAAAAATGAGTATTGTAATTCCACTTGGAGATTTCTTGAGAGGTTGGGTTTCAAATGCAATTACCTTTAAAAGGGCTTAGCACGAGATTGGTGATAGTGAGGGAGGAAGGGGATAAAAAAGGGAAGTAAAAATAATTGATATGTTATGCACATGTACTAACTTCCCACAATGAATGTAATCATCATGTACTACAAATGTGAACATGAATAATTGAAAATTAAGTGAAAAAATAAATTCTCTTTTGCAACCCAGAACGCATTGTTCAGTATGAGTCTGATACACATGAGAAGAAATATTACTGCCAGACACAATGGTGTGAGCCAGTGGTCCTGGGCCTCCTGAGGCTATGGCGAGAGGAATGAAGCCTATGAAGACTCTGTGTGGACTCTGCCTCAGAAAACAAAGCATTGTGATAATCTAATGCAGATTAAAGGGATGGAGGTGCTGATAACCATGAAGTTTGGATGCAACACTAAAGAGTTAATTATAAAGCACAATATATGACCCAAATCTTAGTTCTATAGATTTGTTAGCCCAATTTCTATATTGTGACACAAGAAGATAGCTTTTTTTTTCCTTTTGCTTAGGGCTTATGTCTTGAACCTGGGGCTGGAGTTGAAGATATATCTTACTGTGTTTGGATCATGTTTCTTTTTAAGAGGTAACATCAAATTAAAATTTTCAGTTTTTTCCCCCCTGGTACCAGGGATTGAACTCAGGACCTTGTGCTTTTGAGGCAGGTGTGGCACCACTGAACTGAGTTCCCAGCCCTTTATAGGTTTTAATAACAAAAATTTAAAAAGATTTGTGATATGTGTAAATTTGTAAAAAATGCCTCATCTATTCTCCCCTAAAGTGAAATGTTTTGACAGTGTTTTCACTCCACTTTGACAAATTCACAAACAATTTTTGTTCTTAAATGTCACAAGCATATTTATTTAAAACTTGTTCTTTGAATATGTTGCCTTTTTTTGAATATAGAAGTTCAAAGTTTATTAAAGATAAAAGAGGAAAAGAAGTAGAGATGAAAAAGAAGCGAAAAGAAGAGAGGAGATATGCCCTGCATACAGAGCAGGTCACTGCAAGAGTAAGAAGATAGTGGTGGCCTCATTTGGCTTTTTTCAAAAAATGTAAAGGTATGCTGGGGATTTCGCTCAGTAGCACTGCACCTGCTTGCTTTGCAAGCACAAGGTCCTGAGTTCAATCCCTGGTACTGAGGGGGGAAAAAGATGGAAAAAATGTAAAGGTATAAAAATACGTTTTTACCTGAGAATCAAGATACTTCCTTAGAAAAGTGAAAGCACCAATCACGACCTAGGTTGTTGCAGTATAAAAACCTGGAGCAGAACATCAGCTCTTTGTATCTCTTTTGGAGAATTTTGGATTGAGTGCTGTCAGGTGACTCTGGCCTTTTGTAATCTGTAGGAAGAAACTTGCTGGCAGACGTCACTACTAGGAATCAACAACTGCTCAGGCAGTAACTACACTCTCTTGAGAATATCATATGTCCCTCTGCCTACCATTACAATACTTTTGTCTTTAGTTAGCTCACTCTGTTAAGCCTGCTGATAGAAAATGATTTTTCCTGGTAGAAAGCCTGCTGGAGATGGATTTTTTTTTCTGGCCAAATATGTGTGATTAATATTTTTTTCTTTGTAGTGCTTACCTTCTTATATAATCAAAAGGTTTCATGGTTAACCTTCAGTTAATATTCAAAATAAAATGGTGATAAATACTTCATCTTTCCTAAATAGGACAGTCATCCCAAATCAGGGATTTCATCAGGAACAAGATGAAAGCACAGTTCCTTCTACTACTCCTCAAGTCAGTACTTTACTTGGGTGGCAGCAGAACTACTGAGCTAAATCTGCAGCTCTCCAGTTTTTTTGTTTGTTTTTTGTTTTTTGTTTTTTTTTTTTTAAGCACACTGACTAGCAGAAGCTCTTACTCCCAAGGGTGTGCTCCAATTTTTGTTGGGAAGTAAAGGCTTAGAATATAGAATATATTACTTACTACTGATGCCTATGGAGGCTACTCTGAATAAAATGTATTTGTTCCCACCTTGCTCTTGCTTTTGGTAAATATCTGGTCCAACTGTTGTTCAATTCTCTCACAACTAACTCTTTACAATCTTTCTTCAGAGACTTGGTTCATAATGCTTTCACCACATCCTTAACAGTGTACTACCAGGCTTCTATTGCAGCTTATTTTTGCTGCTAAGGATAGAATTCTATCAGGGGGCAGTAGAGCATAGTAGAGATTTCAAGATGGCAGGGTGGTGAACAACAACAAAATTAAGCCTCTTTGAGATCCACAATCCCAACCCAGGAAAATAACTTGAAGAAGTAAAAAAAAAGAGTAGTAGATCGCCAGAAATTGGGGAAGAACTGACAGGAGAAATTAAGAGAAGTTGAGAGGCAGGTGGCAGAATCACTGAGCTAAATCCCCACCCCCCAGAAAACTTCTCAATAAGATACTGGCAAACAGAACACAACAAATAATCAAAAAGATCATACATCATGACCAAGTAGGATTCATCCCAAGAATGCAGGGATGGTTCAACATTGAATCAAGAACAAAAACATGATTATCTGAATTGATGCAGAAAAGGCCTTTGACAAAAATCCAATACCCATTCATGATAAAAACACTGAATAAAAATAGGTATAGGGTATTATCTCAATCTGATAAAAGTCATTTATGACAAACCAATGGCCACTATCATATTACACTTGATCTTAGCCAAAAGGGAATTACCACAGTCATATTAAATGGAGAGAATAAGAATGCTTTCCCTCTAAAAGTGGGGCATGGTCACACACACTTTAGGTCCTGGCACTTGGAAGACTGTGGTATGAGGACTACCTTATACCATAAATTCAAGGCCCACTTGGGCCATGTAGCAAAACCCTGTCTCACAAAAAACAAAAAATCAGGAATAAGACAGATGTCTGCTATCACCACTCCTGTTCAACATAGTTCTTGAAACGTTCGCCAGAGCAATCAGGCCAGAGAAAGAAATGAAAGGGATATGAACAGAAAAGGAGGAAGATGCATGGTGACTCCTGGTGACCCTAGAGGACTCCGTGGGAAAATACACCAGTGGAACAGAGTGGTGGACACAGCCGACTGTAGTAGCTGCAGCTCCCAGCATCAGGGTGAGACGGAACCAACTTCAAAGGAGCTAAGTTCAAGCCAGCGGGAGGCGCATGGAGGGCTGCAAGCAGAACAAACTGGGCTCTAGCCTCACAGCCAGAACCAGCCTGAACATTTTCTTCTCATTTCCTAATATCTTTTCTACATTGTGGTACTCATTTACACATTCAGTTTTGCATACTAGAGAAGCAATGTGGTGATTAAACGTGTGACGGATTTATTTCACTTAAGCGTATTGCCTTGAGGTTCATCCATTGAGATAGAAATGTCTCAACCTTATCTTCTTTACGGCAGAGCAGTACGCCATCTTCACTATTCATCAGCTGATGGGCATTTGGGTTGTTTCCAAGATTTAGCTATTAAACACTGTGCTACTATAAAAATGGGTGTGCATATATTGCTGTGTTATGATGCTTTTAATTCTTTGGGGAAGTTACAAAGAAGGGGAATGGCTGAGTCAGATGGAACCTCTAGTTTTAGCTCTTCGAGGACTCTCCACACTGATTTCCAGTGGTTGCACCAGTCTACACTCTCACCAACAAGTTAGAAGGGGCTTTTCCCACAGCCCCACCAACATTTGTTATTGGTTGACTTCTTGATAACAGCCATTCTTTCTGGAGTGAGAAGGAATCTCAGCGTTGTTTTAATTTGCATTTCATGAATGACCAGTGATTTTGAACATTTTTTCATACATTTTGCCATTTCTACTTCTTCGTCTGTGAAATGTGTATCCATTTCAGATGCCTCATTTTGAATTGGATCTTTAAATTTGGGTCAAAGATACTAGGAAATGAGAAGAAAATGTTCAGTGAGAAGGGGAATAAGGGAGCAAGGAGGTGAAAGGAAAGAAGAGATAGTAACAAAAATGGAAGCAAAGCTTTTGTAAACAAGGAGGGGAAGAGGGGTTCAAAGGAGGGGAGGGAATTTGGAAAAAAAGAAGCAACATGTATTATGTACAGGTACAAATTCCCTATGATGAATGTTGTCATTATATCTAAAATGTACCAATAAAATATATTTTTTAAAAAAGCAATAAAAGAACCCTGAAACAAAGCAAAATAACTAAATTCAGTTGCATAGCAGGTATAACGTCAACACTCAAAAAAATTGACAGAATTCCTATATATCAATAATAAACTCACCAAGAATAAAATTAGAGAAACAATAACCTTTCACAATAGCATCAAGAAAAATGAAATACTTAAGAATTACCCTAAGCAAGGACTGAAAGAACACTATAACAAAAACTATAGTACTCTAAAAAGGGAGATTGAAGAGGACATCAGAAAATGGAAAGACATCCCTTGTTCCTGGATAGGCAAAATCACAAAGTCAAAACTCCCCAAAATGGTAATACAGATTAATGCAATCCTAATCAAAATACCAATAGCATTCCTCACAGATCTAGAGAAGACAATCCTAAAATTCATATGGAACCAAAAGAGACCAAGAACAGCAAAAGCAATCCTAGGCAACAAGAGCAAGGTAGGAAGCTGAGCAGAATGTTTCATTCCTGTAAGGACAGTAGTCAGGAGGCTGAGGTAGGAGGATTGCTATGAGTTCTGGGCCAGCCTGGGCTACATGACGATTTGAAGGCCAGCCCGAACTACATAGTGAGACCCTGTCTCAAAACACCAAAACCTAAACCAAAACCAAAATCAAACCAGCATGGTATTGGCAAAAAAATAAACAAACAACAAAAAAAACAGACAAATGGATCAATGGAACAGAACAAAGGATATAGAAACAATTCCAGAAACATTCAGCTACCTGATCTTTCATTTGTTTAATTTTTTGAGATAGGGCATTACTGTTAGAGAAGTGAAAATTAAAATAACACTGAGATTCCATCTTACTCCAGAAAGAGTGGCCACCATCAAGAAATCAAATAACAATAGTCTATGGGGGAAAAGCAACCCTTTTGCATTGTTTGTGGGAATGTAAACTAGGACAACTGCTATGGAAATCAGTATGGAGATTCCTCAAAAATTTAAAACTAGAAGTACCATTTGACCCAGTGATTCCCCTCCTACTTATCTTCTTTACTTTTATTTCCAGTTCTGGGGATTGAACTCACTACCTTGTACTTGCCAGGCAGGTGCCTCACCATGGAACTACATCCCTGGCCCCTCTAGTTATCTTCCTAAAAGAGTTAAAAAGATCAGACTTCAGTGATACATGTATCCCCATGTACACAGCAGCTCAATTCACAATAACTAAATCTTGAAAGCAGCCTATATGTCCATCAACAGATGAACGGATAAAGAAAATGTGGTATTTATATACAGTGGAGTACTACTCTGCCATAAAGAAGGATAATCTTGAGTAAAGGATAATAGATATACCCTGAGGTTATAATATTACCTGAAATAAGTCAGCCACATTAGTTTAAAAAATCACATGGTTTCTCTTGTATGAGAATCCCAAGCATTAATAAAGAGCAAAATAAAAGATAACAGGAAAATAAAAAAATTTTTTTTCTATAATAGTTTTTGGTTTATTAATAAAACACTGCATTTTATTTGTGCATTCTGTGATGTTTGTAATATCTGACCATTTTTAAAAAGTATAATATTCATGGTAATATTTCTTCATATTTTTGTTAAGTAAATGAAACTTTGGGATGCGAAAAAAAAATACCAGATTGCAGAAGACCATAATAATGATTATGCTCAAAGCAGGCTGTAAAGAATGAACCCCAAAATTGGCTTGTTTATATATGTAAGTCTGGCTGAAGCCTATGTGCCAAGGTCAGAGTAACTTGCACCCAAATTCTGTTCCCACAACTAAAATCTTCTGACTAGAAGGACAATGTTAGCAGGGCGTGGTGGCGCACGCCTGTAATCCCAGCACTCGGGAGGCTGAGGCAGGAGGATCACTGTGAGTTCAAGACCAGCTTGGGCTACACAGTGAGTTCCAGGTCAATCTCAACTACATAGTGAGACCCTCTCTCAAAGAGAAAAAAAAAGGACAATGTTCTCATAACAGTCATATATTTTGTCTATTGTGTTCCTAATTCAAGAATGTTTTTAGGCTGGGTGTGCTGGCACACACCTGTAATCCCAGCACTTGGGAGGCTGAGGCAGGAGGATCGCTGAGAGTTCAAGACCAGCCTGGGCTACATAATGAGTTCCAGGTCAGTCTCAACTACATAGTGAGACCCTGTGTCACAAAAAGAAAAGTAAATTAATAAAATGGAGCCAGAGTTGGGTCTCCATGGCTGGCTGAAGCCAGAGGAAGGCCTGTGCCTGGGTGTCTTGGGAAAGCAAAGCACAGCTCCTACCCTGGAGCCAGGGTGGGGAAAGGAAAGCAGTTTAAAAAAAAAAGAAAAGCACAGCTACTTTTTCTGCAAGTCAGGCAAATGTCTGGCAGCGCCTACAAAGCATGATGTTTGATGTTATGGTTGCTGAACTACAGGCCTGAACTAGACACTGCAGGAGTCTCTGGCAATTGGCACCCTGGTTGACCCACAAGCAACCACCTACTCAGTGAAGCTATTCAGGAGTCTCTGGCACCAGATTAGTTCTTAAAAGCACGTGTGTGTGTGT